CCCCCCCCCCCCCCCCTTGTGTACGCCATTGGCAAGTTGAGAGATGGAATTGAGATGACATACTTGTGCTATTGAATAGTCGGAGGCACAAGCAGCTTGTAAACCTTCTACACCTGAGATGCCTATGCCAACGTGTGCTTTTTGTATCATGGCAACATCATTCGCTCCGTCACCAATTGCTAGCGTCACGCTTTTTGTATTTTGCGTCACCAGCTCCACAACCTAAAATCAAGGAAACCAAATTAAGAATCAGCAAATTAATAAATATTTTTGCACCTTTCAGTAGTGGTCGAGGCATTTTGGCAGTGGGTGTGAGATTATGTGGGGGAAAAAAATTGAGAAACCGAACCTGATTTCAACAATTATATCTGTGCGGCTTGAAAATTCCTGCTGTTAATAAAAATGCTAATGTTCAAATTTAATCGATAAACACTCAACTTGGACAATGCATGATATCCTGTTATGTTTTGATTATGATCTGATGTCCCTGCTCTATGATAGGGCTAAGTGGTTATTATTGTGATATTGAGAGAATGAAGTTTTGGGAGTGGGTATTATTGCTCATAAAAAGTTTACAGACTATTTTTTTGCTAAAGTTTATTTTGAAATAAGTTTAACTCAAAATTTTGAGTAGGTGAACCATTCAATTGCTTGGGCGCTCTACTATAGAAGAACTTTAGTGGCAGAACGAAATCAAGAAGCAGTTGCCTATCGTCTGAGCGCTTAAAATATTTTAGATGGGTTAGATGACTGATCGTTACTTACATCAGCTTTCTGAATGGGTGAAACACGACAGCAAATGACAGATTTACAGCTTAAACATAATTTGAGAAAATCTTCTCTAACAACAGGTACAAGAGCGTGTTTCAGAGCTTGTCCATCAATGACAAGAGCCACAGGATTTCCTGATTTACCGAGACGATCACCCAAGTCATTAGAATGCCTGATTATTGACTCACGTATTCCCTGAAACCAAAACAGATGATGATGCAGTTTTAGTTTGAAGGTGATTCATCTTGGAGTAATTTTTAGAGAAACTTCAATATTTCTTTGATGGGACAGGACGATTGAGGAGTTTGGAGGACAATCCGCATAAGTGCAGTTTTTGAAAAAATCGACTTATTAATCATTTCAAGTCAAACTCGTCTTAATGCATCTTTTGTGAAAAATTCGCTCTCAAATCCCAATTTTTAAGCATCAAAAAGTCAGTTTAAACTTCCGTTCTGCCATAAGGATACATGTAATTTCGAAACTTTAAAGACGTATTTCTCGAAACAGCAAAAACTGCACTTGTGCGCCTTGTCCTCCAAGCCCCTCAATTACTGCCTAACCCGAGGCAATATGTCCCCGTGAAAAAGAGAGATGAGAGATGGTGTTATACTTGAGCAATTTCAAAACTTCAATGCGCATTTCTTGCAATAGCAAAAACTGCACTTGTGCCCCTTGTTTCGTCCTCCTCAATTAGCTCCTCAATTAGCCCTTTAAGATTAAGGTATAAAAAGTCATATGCTCCAAAAAATCACATGATTTAGAGAAATAAATACACAATTTGGCTGTAGCAACAGTATTGCATTTAATAAGACGGAGGAAACTCGAAAATTGAGATAAAATGGAAGTTCTAGAGCATTTTGATACTTAAAATGTGAGGTGCCCAATTATAAAATGTTATTTTGAGATATAATTGGACGTGTTTCTGGAATGGAATTCTAAATGGAACTAGAGATGGGTGGGCAAGAAGGGGTGTCCTCATTAGTCGAGGGCCATAAGAATGAATGGGAATTATAAAGCACCAGTGACTTCAGCGGTGACAAAGCTGCTGCCGCACTCATTCGTGGTCCGCTTTAACTCATGAGCCCTGTTCACAATGCGCTTTTCCCATGCCCACAACTCATGAGAACCGCATACAATTGGCGCTTAATTTGGTTTGGTAGAATGTAAAATCCCGCTTTTCCATTTCCTCAAAGGGAATTACGCCCACTTTTCCTTTGTTTCTTATGCAGCCTTCTAGAGCACACCCCATCTTCCCCACTTGCCTATAGTTCCGTTTAGCAGAAATACGTCCAATTTTAAATGAACATTTTGAAAAGCAGAATCAAGTTTTAACTTTTCTCAGCACCTGGAGACTTTTCTTTTAAAAGCTTGTACAGCGTGTATCGTTGGCATAAATTGTAGGAGAAACATTTTATTTTTTTTTATTTGCTACGTCTCCTAAAAGTAATTTTCCATTTCAGAGAAGAAAAAATTGATATCTTAAACACATACTTCCCTTTAAGTTTTCATAAAATTTTTTTAAAGGAATTTAAACGCTTTTTCTTAAAATCTAGGCACAATTGCCGCCCTATCCCTCTCTTGCACCCTTTCTGAACTACCCCCCTCAAAAAAAGCACAGTACATCCCAGAAAAATAGGTATACACCATATGTCCTGTTAATTTTAAATCTTGTTTTAGGCATTTGAAGGTATAAAATTAGGCAAATATAATGACAAGAATTGAAATATTAACGTTTGAAAAATGAGGAATAACATAGGACTGGTCATGAGATGTCATGTAATTGAGGTGACCTTTAAGTCCGTTATCTCTGAAAGCCCATTCTTTGTAGGTATTGTGCTTTTCCTCTGGCAGGGTAGTGAAGGGAAATTTTTTGAACCAAATAAATTGTGCGATGATTTGCTGTGTTGAATAAACAAAGAAATTAAAAGGAGAAACGAGATGAAGTTTAAAAAAACGAAATGAGTGAGCAGGAACTTACATTTGCAGTTTTTTCATTTAGGATAATCAATGGCATGCCCTGGCTGATCAGCTTTGAAGAATAGCCTATGTTAATTGCTGTTTCCTGTTTGTCTCCTGTGAGCACCCAAACATTGATATCAGCTTTCAAGAGAGTCGCTATTGTTTCTGGAACTTTATCTTGTAATTTATCCTCAACAGCAGTTGCCCCCAGCAAATTTAAATCTAGCTCAATCATGTTGGCAACCTCTTCAAGTTTCTTTTCCCTGTAGTGGATGACAGTGCTGGCCTGAAGGTACATTTCCTGCCAATCTTTGTACTTTGCTTCATCAATATCTGCTGAAGCAAAACAAAGTGTTCGGAAACCGGCTGATGCAAATTCTTCAAGATGTTTCTGCGTGACTTCGCCAAACTGCCTCCCAGTCGTTGACAATCTTTCATAGATGACGTTATCGGCACCCTTGCAAAACAATTTCAATTGGCCACTCTCTGTTCGAACTATCACAGACATTCTCTTTCTGGCACTCGTAAATTCTAAAACATTTAGTATTTCATATTTCCTCCTTTGATTCAGGGCAACTATTTCGACCGTCATTGGAGTCCTTGTATCAAAAACAAACCCGAATTCTTTGGCACCAAGAAGTAAAGCTCGTTCATCTGGAGATGAAGCATGGTAAATGATATCATTTTTGTCTGTAGATTTCTCTGGAATCACAGTGTGACAAACCGACATGAGCGTTAGGAATTCTTCTATAATTTTATAGTTAGCTTTCTTCTCTGTCAAATCTTCAATAAGCTCACACTTTTGCTCACAGCTCCTGGGATAAATTTTCCCTGCAACAGAGCAGGCTTTGAACTCCATTACATTGCGAGTAAGGGTGCCTGTTTTGTCTGAAAAGATGAACTTCACCATGCCCAACTCTTCGTTTAGATTCGATGTTCTGGCCATGGCAAACGTATTTGTTTCTTCGTGGTACATATCTTCATCCACGTTTATAAAACCAGCTTGCAGAAATCTAACGACTTCCAAGGTAACTTGAAGAGAGATAGGAATTAAATTATTATATAAAATTATAAAAGTTAGTAGATTGTTTAGAAATGTTTTCTTCATTCCATCACCTAGATACCAGTCGAAACCTAGTCTGTTATAGGTCCAGATTTCATTACTTATGGCACTCACAGCACACAGGCCGAGAAGTAGACCAAATAACATTAAAATTTGGGAATTTGTTATTTTATCAACTGTTGAGCGTTTTAGTGGAGCTGCTGTCGCATTCTTCATGAGCTTTGTTTCGTGCCCTGTATAAATGACGACTCCAAATACCCATGCCGTGTTTCTCAAAACAGCTCCTCGAAGTAGGATTCGATCAGGTCCCAAAGGCACTCCTCTGAAAACAAGGCAAAAATTAGCTAAAAAAATTCATTCATGATCAACAAATTATTAGGGAGAATACTAGATACTGACAAAGCCTACAAAGTCTGACTTAAAACTTTTTACCTAATTCTGCATAAGCATGAATTCAAATTTGTAAAATTTCAATTTCATACAAATCAATGGTGGAAAATATACAATTTTTTGAAACTTTTCCTGCCATTTTTTACATCCAGCTATTCAACAATTCTGCAAGAAAGTTCAGATAATCTTATTTTACCCTATCAAGAATATGTGAGGTAACACTCCCTTGAAAACGTACGATTTGAGCAGTAAAATTGCTGGTAAATTTTGAAACACCGCAGTAAGTTCGGATATTTTTCTACTTCAAATATTTATATGAAATACATTGTCCTTTAAATGGATAACCATATAAATCGACTTATGCAAAAAAATGGACGTCAAAAACCTTAGGAGCCCCGACTTCCATTGCTTACCACCAAAGTCAAGGCTCATGAGTTTTTGGACTTCTGCCCTTTTGCACCAGTCAATTCATTTGGAAAAGGATATGCGTTATCCTAGTTTTGCTAAGATTATCCAACTGTTCTTTTACTCTTACTTCACTTCCTAACAGACAATATGGGAAACTGCTCAAATCTCTTCATAAAATCAAACTATTTTCAGTAACAATATAGCATTGGTACATTATTGTCGATTCTCAGCTCAGTTGCAAACCACTCATTCCATGCTTCTTGCAAGATGAATACGGGAGAAAATAATAAAAGAGAGAAATAATGTGTTTCAAACTTACTGTTTGTCATCTTCTCGTAAAACGCCGGTGAAGTCATAAATTTGGCGATTTGGGAGCTCACATTCAACCGTGGCTCGTAACCTAACTAAATCTGTTAAATCTAATATTTTGGCTGTTGTTGGCAAACCTTGTCGAATTTTCAGGTTAGTTTCACCATCTAGATTCATCGTCTCTATATAGCACATTGCTTGGGGTTCACTGAAAAGAACATGGAGGAGGCATATCAGTTGAAGTCCTTGTAATGAACCAAAGCTGCTGAAATTTGAAATATATTGTCTGTATCAAACTTTATTCCAAGAGTGATGGCAGTGACAATGCATCTCTAATTTCCACAGAGGTTAGGAACCATCATGGTCTGCTTGATGAAGAAAAGATTAGGAACCTATGCTTGATGAACCTTTTGTTTCAGTATTTTTGGCGCCAGAATTTTTTTCCCTCCTAAAAAAGGAGGAGAGAAATTTTATTTGCATAATAAAGCATGAACTTTATCAGATTAAATTTGTGGGTACCGAGGAAACTGGACTTATATGTACAGAACATCTTACACAGAGGAGCAAATTAATCATTAAAAAGGATTTGCTAAAATTCTCAATGACCAGTTATGATATGGAGAGAAAAAAATAAAATACAACTTAGAAAGTGAAGATCTTGAGGGTGATAAGACATACCTGGATGAAAGGACAAGGAGATCAGCAGGAAAAAATTGATTGTTCCGCACTTTGACAATGTCCCCAACGACAACATGCCGCCACTGAACCAATTCCCAGTTGCCATTTCGCAATGTTTCAACTTGTCTGTGATTGACTTCCCTATCGGCAAAATGCCTTTTCTACAAGGTAAAAAAAAGATAACTAAGACACAACTTGGCGACAGAAAATAAAGCTTCTTTCTAAACCATAGAATCATGTACAGCTACTTTGGTTCAAGTTGAAGCAAGTATTGTACACAAATCAATAAAAATCAAAGTTCACGACAGTGCCCAAATTACAATGATTCATTTCAAAATTCATCATTGTCAAGATAGTGTAAAATTTTTGTATTCATTTTTGAGGTCTCCTCTCTTAACATAGAACAAGATTGATTTACATTAGCATAATTTGGCTGACTAATGTTGAAGAAAAAAAATTCTGCCGAGCGATACACCAAATATTTTTGCACTATCTCAGCAATACCTTGTAAGTACCAACGACACTATACGAAATAATTTTTGATAGTTCAAAATTTTATGTAAGTTTATGCTCTATGGAAAGTTCCGATGTTTCATGAAATTTCTGTTATCAGAACTGTGGTCAAAGTTACAAAGATTTCAACCAAACATACATTTAACCAAATCCACGACATATTTGAAGAAACAAACAAAAATTTCATGATTTTTCTCTTCCTTGAAATACTGTTAGGCAAGATCCATGAAAGTTCCTGCCTCATCATATTCATTCATGAGAAAAATATTTGTTTTAATGACTTGTTTGAGGGTGCTTCAAGCGAGGGAAATCGGGGCAGGAATTCCTCTCAGAAAGCTTGTGAGGAAGAAAAAGTATTTTTTCAAAATGTTCAGCATGATTATGTCCTCACATACATTAGGATATACTGACATGTACAGATATACAGGACGACATTTAATTGTCTTTGAATCATTATCAGGTATATAAATTTATGAAATTGAGCAGAAACTTAGAGGAATTTACCATGCTGTGAGTGGATGGACAATTTAACGAAGCACCTTTCTCCTTCATTTAAACAAGGCATTTTCACAGTTTTCTTTCCTCTTTTCTTTTATGTATTTTTCAAGTTGCATTTGTGTCTTTTTGGTGGATAATGACTGACAATTTGAGACTCATCCCCCCTCTGCCAGCATCAGGCTTCTGTCAGTCAATTCAAGACCTTTGTTAGGTGCCTGATATGGTTTATAAACCTTTAAATAATTATTTCAAATGCTTTCCTATTTGCTCTCTTTATTTCCACTCATTTCATTTTTCCTTTCAAAATTTCCCTGCTTTAAAGATCGATCCCCGAAAGCTTAGAATGTTGGCATTTCTTCCTAGTTATATTATTTCCATAAATTAAGCAATCTTCACATGATATTTTGTTACAATTGCTCAATTTTATAACTACGTTGCATATTTTGAACAACTTTCCTGCTGCTAAACGTCCCTGCTTTCGAACTGGAAACGTAATTCTCACATTATTGCAAAATAATCCTCCATCCATTAACTTATTGCAAATTTCAGGGAACTGATAGTATTCTAAAACTTCTGCAAATTATTCGCGAGCTTTCCCTGCTGCAGAGATGCCTAAATATACAACTGGAAACTTTCCTATTCCTAGTCTTGTCAGCCTACTTTCCTTGGAAACTTTCATTACTATACCAGAGTACTTATTTGGTTATCTGTGACAACTGGACAAAATGATATGATAGCTCTAAAATAGGCGCTCCAGTGAAATGATTCAAATATTGTGGAGTCCATAATTCTAAATGTAAATAGTTTATGAAACATTGCAGGGATTGAAAAAAATATAAGGATACTCACATAATCTTCTATGATTTCTTTGATAGCGGATACAAGTAGAATGAAAATGAGAGGGACCAATGTGGTATATCTTCCAGTGGGGGACACATCTGGAATTTGCTAAAATCAAAAATTGGTTGTTTAGAAAATATGAACACTGAAATTTTTGAATACTTTTCACTGATCGTCAAGCACAGAGAACAGAAAAAACTAGTCTGCAGATCATACGAGAGATTTGCAAATTGTGTGAAAATTTATTTTCCTAACAAAAAGGTGAACATAGAGAGTTTTAATACATCTTGCATAGCATTTTAAACTATGAGACACTGAAAAAAAGTTAAAAAAATATTATAAGGACCATTGAAAAAAGTTAAAGTAAGTTGACTGAGAATTACGGGTAACTGATAGAAGAGAATTCCAATAGTGGAAGCAAAAATTTAGATGATTGCAACCCTTACCTAACCCTTCTGACACAATAAAAAAGTATAAGAAACTGGAACTTCTTTTTTTCTTGAAAATATAAACATAGGTACATACTATACGCCTGCAATATGATACACTATTGCATTTGCTCTCCTCTGATCACTTAGAGAAAAGTGGACGAAAAAATTAAAATACTTTCAATAACGTTTCCCACAAAAAAGTAAAAAAATAAAAAAAAATAAAAACATAATAGCAAATCCCCAAAAATTTGAAGCAAAAAAACGTATAAAAATTTTGCGAGCACAGGTACCTAAGTCTTTAAAAATAAAAACTTTGCAGGAGTAATATATGGACTGCATTTTGCAATTTGGAACTATAAATTCTGGCCCTGTTTAAAAACAAAGTATGTGCTATTAGTTTCCCTATGCATATAAGTGTTTTTTTTTCAGATGAGTCAGAATTTATAGTTCCAAATTGCAAAATGTAGTCCATATGATGCGCAACTTACTTGGAGGAGAGCAATGAAGAGGAAGAAACAGTTTGAATATCTTCTAAATTGTTCGAAGAGGAAGAATGGCAGGAAAGAGATGATACTGTATTTGGCGGTAGAGATGCTGTTGCTCGCAAACTTGATCGGCTGCGGGCCATTTATGAAGATCACCCGAGACTCAGGTTCTCCAACGATGCAGTCTACTGTGTCGGTTCCTTCTGTCAGATCTCTTTCACTTTCAGTATCTGCAAGACAAGACATATCAGGGAATAATATAGGATAGAGTCTAAGATGCACAAAAACAGAGAGTGTCAGTTTTCCTCAAACGCCCAAAGAGTTTGTTCTGGCGTGCTTTGAGAGATAATAAGGAAAGGAAATAAAAAATTACTAATGATGACGTTGAATGTTCGAAACAAAGTATAAATTATCCGATTTGTTTCAAAAACACTTCATTAACTTTGATGGGAGACGTCATTCATGAAATTGTATTCCTAGTGGCAGTGACTATTAGAAAAAATTGTAAAAAAGACTTGTGCGATGCGCAAGTTTACAGGAGGGTGGCCCCCAGCCCCCTCTCCTCTCCCAGCTCTCTAAACTACCTCAGCGAGCCACCTTAGTTGGTCAAAGGCTGTTATATACAGAGCAATCACTGAGGTATCAAATTTTTCTTTCAGAGAGAGTAAGTTCGCCTAACAATGGCATTAAAGGCGACCGACGCTCTTTTGCCCACTTGGAATCACGTCTTGTAAAGCATGAACAGTTGCTCGCCTTCATTTTTCACGACTGAGCAAGAGCACCACATACGTGTCATTATAGTTGCCTAACCGTTCAAAATGAAGGCGGAACACGCTGCATCAATCGAGTAGCGAAGATTGTAACAAGTTGGCGGCATTAAAAAATACCTCCTTCAGTTAAGCCCATCAAAAACATCGAGTCTCGTTGAGGCAGCAACCTAACTCACCTAGAATCAATTGGGCGTATTTCTGTCAAACGGAACTAAGCGCCAATTTGAGTTCCTTTTGAGGAATTTAGAATGCCGGATAGCGCGTTCTGTCAAACGGAACTAAGCGCCATGGAAAAGCATAGCGAGTATAGGACGGAATGAGCCCGACGCCCGATTCCGCCGCCAATCCAAGCAAGCCCCCTGCTACCTTCCTCCCCATATGGCGCTTAGTTCCGTCCAGAAATACGTCCCATTGTTAGTGTTTTCTTTGGGGTTTTTTTTTATTTTTTTTAAAAACATAATTACATTTAAACGGAAGAAAGACAGTCTTGCCGATATGCAAACATTGCCACGCACTATGCTAAAGGAACACATGGCTAATTTTGATTTCCTTTTACAGAAAAGTTCATCAACTAAGATCATGTTGGCTGTTCTATTGGGAACTACAAAGTTAAGAATCAGAACCACCACTTTATAATATTAAGACTTTATAATGTATTCTATTCTATTCTATGGATCGTGTGTATTTCGACTCCACCTTTGCCAAAGGGTGATATTAAATCAATATTACGATGAGGTGAATCATCCACGAGATAAAAGGAACAAGTGAGAAGATGAGAGGAGGAGGTAAATGGATTCATAGAGGATTTCTTCAAGTGGGTAGATTCAATATTGAATGTGAGAGTTTTCATACGAGGTAAATGATATCTTATGACTGTACTACTTTAGTGCATTTCTTGAGCGCATCTCAACGAGCTGACATCGTTAAAATTGGTGACGTCATAGCGTGAAAAATTTTAAAAAAATACGTACTGCTAGAACGAGCAGCGCTGCTTAATTCCATAATGACGTCGAACTGACGGCGGGAGTTTTTCGGAGTCGCATGAAAATAAGTTCACTTCAGGAAAAAATGAGATCGAGGACTTAGTGTTAAACTTCACATTTCCTACCTAACGCTGTTGAATTTTTTGCGTTATCTCGAGTGATATGAAAGAATAAGAGAGCAGCGAACGCGTCGTAGACATGATTAAAATACGAATTATCACCGTGTGAAGAAATACGTCGGGTCGGAACGACAGGAAATAAAAGAAAATCAAATAAATGAATATTGAAAAAATAAATAAAAAAAATCTGAATACAATGAAATAAAACCACAACACCAATAGTACTTTTGGCAAAGTTGGAAAGCGCGAACGTCGATCGACCAAAATTTCGATTGTTCCGTGAGCTGCGGATATTCTGGGAAAAATGACTGCGACCGACAACGCGTCGTTTTCAAACACTTGTGAGGCGGAAGTTAAAATCAGAGGGCTCACCCGATAACTAGTTTGAGGGAATATGACTCTTAGTACGGGAGTGTCACCTCACTCACAATGAGATCCTTGAGGGATTCGATAAGATGCTTTGTTTGAACACGCGTTGAGGCCGATAAACTTCCGAAACGCCTTCATTTACAGTGAATGCAACATCAAGACGTTTTTCGAACGGGCCTGCTTATCTCCCTTCCGTCCGGCGCAAAAACGTCGCAACTCCAATACATACATAGGCGGATCCATCAATTTGGCAACACCGGAATTCTTCCACTTAAACCTATGTTAAATAATCGCTTCTTGTTGGAGCACTTTCCCCTGCGAGAATCGATACATTTCCATAGGTTTAAATGGAGAAAAATAGTGTTGCCAATTTGCTGGATCCGCCAATGAATACATGTTCGGCATATCTCATAAAAACTTAGTGCTATATTGCAAGTAAATTCGAGCCTAGGGCTTATATCTTTACTGTCAGCGCTCTCAACGAGGAGTCCCTCTGTGAGGCGATGAGGTTCATGCCAACTTATTTTCTTGAAAAACTCTCAATATTTTTCAGGGGGAAAAAATGTAAAATGTTGGAAAAACGTTACGGAGCTTTTGCTTTGGTTAGACGCTGGCTACAATAAACATTCCAATTCCTCCATGACTGATATGAGCATTAGACGGAATGATTTCAGGAATTGATTCTTTGTATCAAAATAAAAAATTTTTGGGAGGCATAATAGTTCTTCCAAAACCGCGCTCCAAACCGTTAAACAGTTTTGTACCTGATTTTTCCCAAAGTTTGAGAAATTATTTTTTCTTCTCTCTCTCTCCCCCCCCCCCCCCNATCCTTCAAACAAAACTGTTACCGAGATCTGGAATGAAGTGTGGCGCGGTGTGGTTGACCTGACTCCGTTAAGTTAAAGAACAATCTTCGTATGCGTAATGACCACCGCATCCGTGGTACACGAAGAAAAAAACTTTAGGCATGGGACTCGAAGTAGAGGTCATGTGGATCTCTGAAGTTTTCGGATCACGCATCCGAAAACTTGAGGTCCGACTGCCGAAGTTCGGGTCAGACATCTGAAGTACTTCGGTACATACCGAAGGGTTCAGGTCACACACTTGAAGTACTCGTTACATACCGAAGTACTTTAGATGTCTGACCCGAACTTCGGTAGCTGGACCTCAAGTTTTCGGATGCGTGATCCGAAAACTTCAGAGACCCATTTGACCTCTAGGGTCCCATGCACGCAGTTTTTTTTCTCCGTGTAGCTTTGCATTTTTTTTTTTTTTTTTTTTTTTTTTTTTTTTTTTTTTTTTTTTTTTTTTTTTTGATCTTGGTGGTTTCCATGAGACCAAACACTCTAAATAAAGGTTCTCTAGACCGTCCAAACTATACGAGACGGGTACTCGTACGGGTTTTGAACTCGTTCATCTCTACAACAGCCCATGGCGATTCTCTGGGAACCAATCTCCACATTATGCTTCAGTTCGTCTCAGTTTTTCGTACTTAGATGAAACGCAAACACTGTCGAGATAATTGCTTATAGAGATTAATCAATCGAGTGTTTCAGTTATAGCCAGGCAAAGCATAGAATTTTAAAAAAATTCATTTTCGGTTTTTTTGTGCAAAATTACGAAGTAAGATTTGTTTCGAGTTACTTGACACCATCCGCGTGACGATACCACAGACATCCCTTCAGCGTTACATAAGTAACGTACGGACGCGCCTTCGAGTATCGGATGCGGAACCATGTCGTTTTTAAACGTGTTATTATATTTGTAACGCGCAATATCCAACAGATGGCACGGGTGGCAATACTGCTAATGACAACAGGCCAAAGCCCACCTGTGGATGACAACACAGACTACAGCATTCAACACAGCCTTCGCTTCCAATGGTTAGGTACAGAGGTTACTTACGGAAAAATACCGTACGTTACGCCACGGCCACGACACACGAAGCAAAGGAGACCCATTCGTGCGAGGCATCTTTAGAAACGGCGCGTAACAGCACATAAAAATCCAGAGACGGATACGTGGTTCTACGAAACTACGCACACAGCTGGTAACGTACGGGAAACGGTGCGTGATTGCACATAAACATACGGCGGCGAATACGTGTGTCTTAGGTACTACGCACGCAGCTGGATCCTGTTTGCTTAGTTAATGACGTCTAACGATAGGAAGTATGCACCTAAACGACACCCTACCAATACAACGGTGGGCGAGAGATCCGTGCGTGCAACTTGTTAATTGTGACGGCAGGATTCGAGGCAGGAATGGAAGGAGCACATGGGACTGGATCGATGGGGGAAAAATGGTGGTATACGAACCGATGTCGGTGAAAAGGCGTCGGCAGTTGAGCCGCTTGTAGAGCGAGTAAAGCAGGAGAGTAGCCATGCACTCGCGGTGGAAATTCGAGGGAGTTCCGAGGAGCCGAACCAAAAGGCGACTTGGTAGGCGGAAACATATGTTTCGGTTGACGAGCGGTCGATGCGCATGCACGCATGGTCCCACGAGATAGGTCGCGCGCCGCGGCAATGCTCCTTGCGCATCTGCCTATCCTCGCGGGGAAAAGGGGTGTTCACACTGCGCGACAGCGACAGGTTTGACGAGTCATAAACAAAATGAGGGGCTCGGAGGACAAGCATAGGATACATAGAGTCGTAATGTAGGTGGGCGAGCTGGCGCCACTTTTAAGCATTTTCCAGATCCTGAATTCCGAGACTCCTGTGTGACGCCGGGTCACTTTTTCGGTACATAAGCGATTTTTTGCGATACACGGGTACCCGGCCATTCGATGTAAACGAAGAAGATAGGAATCACCACGTATTCCACACCGCCATTTTGGATCGAACATGTATCGAAAAAGTGACCCGAACTCGGCGCACACCGGGCTCGGAACTCGTCGAGCTGAACATGGCGCCAGCTCTCCCATTTACATTACGACTCTATGTACTCTACGAGAACATGGCGCATAAGTGCAGTTTTTGCTATTTTAAGTAATGCGGGTTTAAAGTTTCAAAATTACATGAAACCTTATGGTAGAAAGGAAGTTTAGATTAGCTTGTTGATGCTTTAGAGTTGAATATTTTAGTCCTGAGTTTTTCACAGAATATACTTTCAAAGTTCCAGTTACAGTTGAGTTCATGAAAATCTCAATTTTTATTCAAAAAATGCACTTATACGCCTCGTCCTCCGAGCCCCCCAATTGCTGCCTAGCCCGAGCCAATATGTCCCCGTGAAAAGGAGAGATGAGAGATGGCGCTATACTTGGGTTAGGTCCGCTAAAATTGGTCCCACACACGGGATTCTTTAACATTTGGACTGCGCTGAGCAGAAAGAAATTAAGCCACATTAGTTATTGCCAAAAACCGAGCAATTTAATTTTTTACAGGAAAAATTTTGTGCGGGTTCCTTGGAAGTTTTGGAGGAATTTGCTTCGTACTATAAAGGAATTCACTGAAATTGGCAGAAAAATCCGCTCAACCGTTTCTACGTAAAAATTAAATTGCCGAATTTTTGGCAATAGCGGATGTGGCTTGGTTTCTTCCTGCTTCGCGCGATCTATTTGAGGGTATCTTTTCATTACAGTCTATGAGATAAGGCAAAGAGGACCAGGGTCCACCAAAACTCAAAATTTAGCGAAGAATCAGCCGCACTGATCACGGAATCACATTCTAATGGTAAAAAGCTTCTAGAGTAGGAGAAAATAATATAAATCCAACCAGAGATGCGAAAACTGCACGACAGGGCGAGGACGGGTCGCCAGTGAAAATGCAAAGGCCCCGAAAACTGTATTTTTAAATAAGAAAGCTGGCAAGATCGCGTTTTTCTTGCGGAACAGAGGGAAAGACCACGTGTTCGTCGTAAAATAGCGTAAGAAATCACAATTTTTGCACAAAACCGAAGCAATTCAAGCTTACAAAGCCATAAAAAAGTGATTTTTTGTAAAAAAAAATTTCTGAGGAAAAAGGGGTTTTTAAAACGGGTAGGTCAATTTGAAAAATGGGAAGGCTAAGAACTTCCTACGTCACTGGAAAAAAACACATTGGATCTAGGGTTCATACTCTTAAAAACATCGACAAGAAAAAATACTCTTGATTCAATCAGATTTAAGCTTAAATCAAAAGGAAATCCGCTCGAATTAAGAGGCTTGGTTCTTGATTTAAGCTTAAATCTGATTGAATCAAGAGTTCTTTTTCTTGTCAATGTTTTCAAAAGTCTCTAGATCCAATATGTTTTTTTCCCCCAGTGATCCCTGCGTCCAACTGGTTAGTATCATACGCCCAATGCTATCGAAAGTTCCGACCTTCGAAACACGGCGTGATGGTAATGCACTAACTCAAATTTCTCGGGCACCATTCGTCGTGTAGAATCGGGCGAACAGTCTGAACACCCCTTGAACGTTCGTGTGCAAGGATATCTCCGCTTGCCGTGCTGTGCCACCCTGTTTTTCCTTCCACCCTCTGTTCTAGGGGGCTGAAAGGGAGGAGGGTTGCACTCATGCGCAATTTCCTCGTTCGGACATCACACACATGCGCAATAGTGTGAAGGCTTTCTATCAACAGTCAACAGATGGGAGCCATGTCTCTACTCCAAGCCGGCTGTGGATTCGGCGAGCTAACTATGAACGTCTACCCTGCCGAGCTGAGGAAAAACGCCGTATGAACCTTCGTTAGTTGTCAAATTTCCTTTGATTAAATGCGAATTTTCAGGAAAACTCGCGAATATTTTTCAAATTTTTTTCAGAAGATTTGCTTTGTAATTAGGTCTGATTCATCTAAAACTTTCAGGATCAAATATTCATAACTCTCCTCAAAAATAAACATTTTATTTGAGGAAATTTGGCAACTATTGAATGTTCATACGGCGTTTTTTCTCAGCATGGCAGTATGTATCTTGCGTTGAATAACGCCAAAAAAACGGACGTTACGTTCCGTGTTCCATCATTTGAAGTTCAGATGTTGCAGAAATATTGACA